TCGATAAGAATGTATCAATAGTTACTCACGCGATAGAGATTGATGCTTAGCGATAGTACGTTCAATGGTAGTGCAATGAAATACACCCATTTAAAACTTCCCTTCATCATTTCGATAAATCTTGAATATAAATAACGCGAATAAGATGAATGTATATAAATGACTATTGTTAATTACGCGTATCTACGATTTATACGATTCCTTGCGAAATTTTATGTTTTACGTTGATGCAAAGATTATTAGAAAAGTGAATAATTTGAAAAAAAATTGCGCTACAAAATGAAAAAAAATTTTCTTTATAATTAATAAAAATTACGGACTCGATTGCTTTCCTGTGCATATCAACTGCGCTGATTATTCCATGACATATTATTGAATTTTTTTCATCAACGGATGCTACATTTCGTGCCGTACCTCCGTGCAACGCTTGTTCTATGCGACAACTGAAAAGTAGTGTAATTTGTAAATGTTATCAAAATTAGTTGACTCGATACTTCAACCGTTATATTTACTTTGCTATTTCGAACAATCCGCATGCGTGTTGCGAATATGACATGAAAAGTGTCTCGACGGCTATCATCGAGGTTAGACCGCATAGAACGACAAGGAATATATATAACATAATCGGAATGAAATACTTTTGCTGATCTATAAACAACTCGAGCTCGACCGGAAACTGCCGTAGATGAGATTCGTTTGTAGCCGTTACGATGTCCAGAATAACATTTGTCATTAGTTGCATTAAAATGAAGGTAAGTGTACTCAAATAGATGAACACTGCAACAGTTAAATCAATTCTAAATTGTTGCCGAAACTAGTATGTAAAAAAATTATTCGAGATATTGCTTACGTGTCGTAAACAATGTGATGAATCTACCGAGAGCTGAATATTTTTTTATTATCTCAATCTCACGTGCATTATTTAATTCACTCCAGTCTAAACGCACTCGTTCCATAATATCTCGCATCTACATTCGTAAGATAATGATCGTCATTTTTTCTCAAAAATATCCTAAAAAGATAGCTTTAATATCAAACTTATTACCTTTTTTACGTTTAGACAAAAAATGTTATATCTGAACATATAACTCATCCATGGAATACTATACGCGAGAATTTTCAAAAGAAGCTCCATACTGTACTCTCTCGTGGCGAAGCTTGCAAACTGAAAGAGATACTATTTTCCTAATATTTAACTTCTAATAAATTTGATTATATTAATGACTTCCTGGCCCAGAATGTCTTTGCAGTGTTTCGAAGAAGTTATTCAATACACATACAAGTATGATAATTTTAATTAAGCATCATTGAATTCATCAAAACTTTATGCTATTATACTTAATTTCCTCGCAGAGAATTTATTAATTAATTAAAAAGAAATTAATTATGCGCGCAATCCTCGCACATTCCGTTTTGTTAATTAATTTTTACATTAAATAATAATAATTCGAAGGCAATTGGTTGGAGATATGAGATTTGAAAGTGTCATACCTGAACTATTACGCCGGATACAAGCGTTATAATCATCAATGGTACTAGAATACATCTGAAATCAAATCTTTGATATGGCCACAGGCCGAGACATAGCAACAGGTTCCGATTAATAGTGTAATAACTATCCACCGTACAAGTCATTTCGACGCAAGTGCCGTGATGCGTTTGTGCTAAATTTTTTTTTCTAGAAATATCTTTTCTATGCTTCCACTCTAACTCTAACATATTCTATTATAATTTCACATTTTCCACGTTCTTCTTTTTGTAAATATTGTACAAATATCATGCAAATATTATGTACTAATGTAGAAATTATGAAATACACTATTATACCAATGTTGAGAGATTACGAAATTTTGTGTTGAGTAAAACTATCTGAAATTGTAGTATTAACTTACGTCTGACTAAAATTCCGAGTATTGAAAAAAAAATACGTTATTACTTTGCAAAATGTGTAACCGGTTATTTCTCATCTATTATCGTCGCCTCTTATTTTCGATCGACGCAAGCGCAATAGCAATGCCATTTTCGCGTATTTTCAATGCCTCGTCAGTCTTATTCGAGACGTGAGACGTTGCGGTACTTTCCTTCGACGTGTATACGATCAATATACAGGTATATGACGATTATAATCGCACACTAGATTGCTATGCGATTATAATCATCAAAATCAAAATATTGTAAAATGCGCATGGAAGTATCAAAACTGTTAACTAGTAAATTACTATACTGTCAGAACTTAAACACATTGTTCATATGTCTGTATTAATAGGTAATGTCCCAATTTTTCATTAGAACATTGATTTTATTATATGTATAAGTTTAATAGAAAACTGTCGAAATGATATCATTAACTCAATAACGTTTATCTTCTTCTAAAAATGCTTAATCATTATAATATATTATCAGCCAGGCATTAATTCTTATTTCTAACAAAAATGTGATCAATTTATTTTGTCATTTTTCTTTGTGCATTATACTCTGAAAAACGATGCAATCCGAAAGTAATTTCCTTCCCTTTTGTTCATTTATTTGAAAACATCCGAAAGCTTTTTCTCGCATTTTTCATACGACATTTTTAATGATGTTAGTTGATGAAATAAATAGCAACGTGAAAACTGCATTCACCCGATAAAATAAAAAAAAGGAATGTAAACGCTGGTATATTTATTGTGAATGTAAAACTGGTCCTTGTGGAAATTCTCTCCTTTCATACTTTATTTTCAGTATTTTCTGTGTTATATGTGTATTCAGTATGCATTTTCAGTGTGTTCTCTTATATACGCATATACGTATACGTATAGATGAGTCAAGACTCATCATTTTCAGTCTGAATAAACCATGATAGATTTATATATCATATCTACGTAGAAAATGGAAATGGGACTCTCTCTCTCTCTCTCTCTCTCTCTCTCTGTGTAGTATTTTACGAATTAAATTCATATATGTATATATATATATGTATTACGTTTTGACAAGCAATATATTTAGTAGTATATAATCATACTATAGAGTGAATCTTAACATTGGTTCGATTATTTCGGTGAATTATAATCTTTCGTTGCATGTGATCTCATATTTTGATGATTGACCAGCACAGAGTGATTTATAAATGAAACGTTCGTCTGCGATATTGTTCATATCATCCATGAGATTAATGTTGTAGTGACAAAAACATCATGAAATAAGATAAAGAGCAGTTCACGAGCTAAAATATAAATCATATTATTAAAAAAAATCGATTCTCTTTGTAAAGTTGTTACATTAATCCTTTCAGTGCTATGAATGTGTAAGAAGACATCCAGCAAATGGCACATTGTGAGTGCCATGATGAGTGTGTTTATGCGTTCAGTTTTTAAGAGTAAACAAATATCAGCGTCGAAAGGGTTAATGTAACGTTATAAATAATGTGAACTAAATTAAAATTTTGTTGCTAGTAAATTTAACCTAATTTAAATTTAATTCTAATAATCCTTATATTTTCTATTTTTTTTTATTTTAATAAAAATAAAATTTATGTCATATTCTAGTAGCTACTGGACCACTTATATATTATACTGTTTTAATTTCTTGCAGCACAATTATTACAAATTATAAATATTAAGTATATTGTGGAGAGAAATAGTTGAAAATTAATTCAATATATATTGTTAATTAAATATATTTAAAATTATTTGATTTATATTGTTATATATATTAAAATCTGTTATTATTTCATATTATACATATATTATGCCTTTATAATACTTACCGAAGCAAAAAATTCAAGTGATGCTTCGATTACACTACATATAGTAAATTTAGAATATTTTAGACTTCTTTGCATTATAATCAGTAGCAGTTTTTGTAGTGAAATAGGGACAGAATACCAAGGCAATTCACAACTAATAATAATAACAATTTGAACGTTAAACGGTTTTATTCTTAAAACACGTTTAATGTGAAATTTATACTCGAAATATTTAATTCAATATATAAAATATAATCAATAAAAATTATAAGATCTTTGATATTATCTTTGAGACAATAAAATCTTCATATAATTATTCTAAAATTCAGATACTTAAGGGTTTGTACAAAACGATTGTCTACAACTTCGTTTGTATATAATCTATTGTAAGTACGCAGCGGTTTTTATACATGACCGTATTACACACAGCGTATTCCACATACGACCATATTGCACACACGACCGTGCTGCGCATATGACTATTCTGCACACATGTACGTTACAAATTAGAAGGTTCATATTAAATTGTACGTTTTTACATATAGGTGTGCCAACTTTCCATTCAAAGTGTCCTGCCACATGGTTAAAAGAAGTCCACTCCCCACCGTACCGTGCATGCAGTGCGTATGAGGTCTATAATTACAGTTCCATATAGGTTTTCAACTTTCCGCGCGAAGCAAAATTTTGCAATGTGCATGTGTGCAGTATGGAAATGTACGTGACATGGTCGTGTGCGTAATATGTTTGTGTGCAGTGCGCTATGTGAAATACGGTCGTGTGTACTATACGTTGTGTGCAATACGATCGTGTGTAAACAAAGTTGTAGATAATCGTTTTGTAGATAAACAAAGCTCTCCCACTTAATCCACGTATATATTTTTTGTTAAAATTATATTCGATAACACAGAATTATAATTGCGAAATTCTATGATGTAAAACGAATAAGAAATAACAAAAAGTCATTCATATTTTAAATGATACTCACGTTTTGTAAAATATATCCTCACTATAGTTTATTATCAACTGTGTCATAAAATTATTCAAAAACATGTAAACAAAATGAACTAGGACAAATAATGCAATCACAATTGCTTCTTCAAAGTCTTTCTTGAATCCTGCTTGATAAAGCTAATATACATGAGAAAACATTTTATAAAATTTCAATTTTTGCATTATATCCAACAATACATCTTACAGTAAAAATATTCATGGAAAAACTTAAATATTGTAATAAAAATGTGTTCTTAATACAAATTGTGATTTTATCATTATTTTGTCATAAATCGATGTAATAATATGTTGCAATTGTACTATGTATTACCACAATACTTACGCGAAATAAGTTAAGACTTAAAGAAGCCACGCCCAACACAAGCAAAATGAAGGCAGATATTTCGAGGGAAGAATTAAAAAGATCAAAATACCTTTAATAATATTTTAATATTAATAAAATTCTCACGAAATGTATTTATTCTCATTATTTCATTAGGAGAGGATTTAAACTACAATTTAATGTATTTCTATTTTGTTTTTTTGTATTTTTAATTTTTAAAATGTCGGTAACATGTACAGTTTATTGCTACGTACTCAATAGCTTTAATGTGACTGGTTAATGCATTGATTATATTTGTGTAATATATTTTATATTTTTCCGAGGCAGAGATATGTATTTCACAGTCGAATGCATGTTTTATGCGTAAGCTACAACAGTAAAATACGCATGTTAATAATTATGTGTGCAAATGCAATGGGAAATGTAAAATTGACGTAAAATTAATCGTAATATCGATATACGCTATGTTTTGGATGAGTTTTTCAACATACCGCTTTAATTTCTCTGTCTCGATTATTACCTGGTAATTCTAAATAGCCCATAAGCATGTTGTATGTATACTGCGCCCATTGTTTCCGTAGCCACTACCGTAGTCACTTCTACAGAAAGTGCTACCGCCATGTGTACGAATATTAAAACGAAGTACTCATCTTCATCGAATAAAAACGTGGTTAAACCCAAAAGTTTAAGCGGACGTGATTCGTTCAAGGGTATTACTATATCCAGGAATTTCGGTAATATTTGCGTCATTAAAATCAAACATACAAATAAATAAAATAGCACTGAAAAAATCGTTTAAGTCGATAATAAAAATAAACTATCATTTACTTAATTGTTATAATAATTTTATTTGTTTGTTGTAGTAATATACATTTTTTCTTTAATTAAAGCCTTTAATAAAAAAATGCTAGCAAAATTAAAATTATTTAGGAATATTTAACAATCTCAATCTGTTTACATAGCTATATATATCAACATGTTAAAAAGATTTTTCTACCTGTTACCGTAATGCTCAACAGCTTTGTGAAATAGGAACATTGCTGTAAGATTTTCAATTCCTCTTTGCATTTTATTGAATTCCAATGATTGTTGATTTGCTCTATTAATTTTTTTAACTGTTGTTAATAATAATAATAATTATTATTATTATTATTGACTTTTGAATATATGATATTACATAAGTAATTTATACAGGGTGTCCCGTAACGCTTAATTAATATTTCAAGGCGTGAAAGAGAATGAAATTTTGAACTAAAAGTTCCTCTTTCAATTTTGACTCAGACCATTATTTACAGAGTTATTAACGAATAAAGTT